CACCCCTAGGCCAGGCACTGTCTGTAATTAGCACTCCAGATCTTCTGCCCTAAAACTTTTTCCACTAACCTACCATAAGACACTACTGCCGTATATTTGGAATATCTCCCCCAAAACAATCTTCAATGCATGCCTAGTGTTATGTGGGTAGAAGTGTGGGTTGTTCTATTAACAATTCAAAGTTTGTACATCAGAATAGTCTAGAATGGTATCTTTCTGTTTCTCCGTATATACAAACTTTATATGCTAAAGGGTGAGTTTAGTTTGTTTTCTGTACGAGACATAATAAGTGGGTAATGGCAGGGGAACACAGAGTCCACTGACATACAACATGGAGAGCCTACCTTCCATTGTTTGAACCTTTGCCTGCCATTGACATTTTTTTTATAACCCAAGTCCAAATTTGTATGTTAATTTGGATATGCATGCAAATCCATCCAAAACTAAATCCACATCCAAATGAGGAATTAGATACAGATCATGCAAGCTTAGACCACATAGGGGTATATCTGTATCCAACGCTCAGATCGAATTCTAAAGCAATGTCCATATATGGTTGGAATTGGATCTATATTTGATAAGAAATTTGATAAAATCTCTGTGATAATATTTGGATTGGGTCCAAAGTTTGAAAGGAGTGCAAATACAAATATATACTGTACAAATATATACAAAATAATATAAAATACAAGGTTTTTCACTCTACAAAATTGTATTAATTTATACTCCTAAACTGAGCCTAAATGTGGGCATAGAAACAGGGTCATACATTCCATTTCAAGTCCTACTCCAGCACATGATGCTCTATTTATATCTGGACCTAAATAAAAACGGTATCTTTATTCAATTCTGGAACTAAGTCTTACTCTAGAAGTCTAGATCTAACTTATTATTGCTCTTCTCCATGAGTCCATTACATGATTCCAAGGTTCAAAGTATCGATACGTATCGTATCAGGAGCTTTCCGATATGCCCCTACAGAGGGTGTATTGGGGTTTTAACCGGTTCAGGGGATGGATGGACCTTAAACCGGCCCCTCTGAACCGGATTTGAAAAAAAAAACTATCAATACGCCTCTACCGACGTATTGGGTGTATCGATATTTTGAACCTTGCATGATTCAAATCCAATACCCAAACAAAAAAGAAAATCAAATCAATTGGACTTAAATCCATTGAATCCAATTCAATTTGGTGTAATTTCCAAATGCCATTTCAATGCCCATGGATCGAAAAACAACCATAGTGTTTACTACATTTTGGTCTTCTAAGTGTTCATAGAATTTATAGTGCATTTGGAAGGAGTACAAATACGTATATGTAGAATACAAAACCTTATATTTTATAGATTAGTTTATATGTATTTGTACTGTACATATTTGTATTTATACTCTTTCTAAACTGAGCCTAGGGTGAAATTTCAGATCCAAAACCACTCTAGCCATCCAAAACGAAAAACAATGTCTAGAGTGAAAACCACTAGACATTGTAATAATGCAGTGGAAATGCAAGCATAGGTGTAAATTGAGTATCCATTGGAAGAATTCCCCCTATATTCTTGACACTAAGGCTGTGTTTGGTTGCAGTGCAATTTTATTTGTACTAGTATAAATGTATGAGAGTACAAATGAAAAAAAAATGCAAAATTTGGTTTAATTTTATTTTGGATTTTACTTTATTCTTCTTTAGGTCTTATTTTACTTCATTTATACTGCAATCAAACAAAGTAAGGTAAAATTTGAAACAAAAATAGATTAAAATTTACACCCAAAACATCTGCACTGCTATAGTTTTGCATCAATGCAAATAAATTTGCATTTCAACCAAACACAGCATAAGGGGTTACTTCAAATAAAAAAAAAAAAATGCATGTGAAGGACTGATCATTGATTTTATCTTTGAAACATCAAATTTGATGTTTAAGTAAAAATAACTATATATTTGTATTTATCAACCCAAAATCGTTTTAGATAAAAAAAAAAAAAACCTCTATCACAAATATATAATCAATCTAAAGTGTTTTAGGTAAAAATAAAAATATACCAAACAGAACAAATTTAAGAAAAAAAAAATCAATCCAAACACACGCAAGTTACACCACCGAATGCAAGTATGAAATTGAAGTAACTTGTTAGTTGTAACTGCATTTGCATTGAAAAGATGAAAATCTGACTATGATATAATATGAACCATTCATGCTTTGCATCAAGGGCCATTTGATATTTTTTGGTCCTAATAATACCCATAGCCCATGCACTCTTATGGTTTGTCAGTTGGGCCCACCTAAGAACAAGCCCCTAAATTCAAATTCATCTAACATTTTATAACCCCAAACTTTACTCTGGGTCGAGAGGGCACCGTGGATTTTATTAAAATAGAAAAATAAAAGGGGGACTTAATATTAGCTTATAGATATATTAACTTCATGCAGAAATAAACCAAATCAATCTAGTCTAAGCCTAAGGAGTTAAAGCTGATCATCAAATAATGCAAGCCTTGATTGTATTGGGAGATCATGTTTGGGGTAGAAAGTGAAATTATTCCTTTCTCCGAAATTTGCAAGGGAGTCAGTCATCGTGTTTCCTTCTCTAACCATATGAGTGTAGGTGATTTCAAAATCAGATGCAAGAAAATCAACCATGTTGTGGAATCCACTGCATAATTGCCTAATTAATCTGGATTGCCCACAAGCTTCAACATGGCATAAATGGGGGTGGGCTGTTTAGAAACACCGTTTTCAAATATAACCTAAATGCAAGAAAATCTTTAACACGGAAATGTCTGGGACCAAAATATATGTATGTAGGTAGGTAGGTATGTATATTTTCCGTTATTTCAATGAACTTAGAATTATGGGCAACCCCTTAGGGAAGGCCAAAACTTGTTTTAAATTCTCTCTAAAAGTCTTAATTTTCTTCTTTCAAAAGGGAAAGACACAAGAGTCAAATAAATAGTCAAGGTGAGCTGATAATGCTTGACTTGTAGCACAGTGATCTCCTACGGCTGTTTTTGGTTTGATGGAAAATAAGAGAAATAAAAAGTTGAGGAAAAGTTATTAAGGAATTTCACAAATTTTGCTAAAAACTTTAACTCTATGAATTTGCTAGATATAGATCTAATTGGCTCTAGGGTTGTCAGTGGATCGGGTTTAGGCTGCGTTTGGAAACAATGCAAATGGAGTGTAAATCCCGATTCAGAGTAGATTTGCACTCTGGTTTACTTTTGCTTGTGTTTGGCAACATTACATTTATGCATTGACAAATGACAGACCAATGCTTATTTACATTGATAATAAGATCAAAAAATACATCAATAAAAAAGAAGTAAATTTGCATTCAAGTGGGCTTATATATATATATATATATATGCTTTATTGAAATTCATGTTTACATCTATTACAGCTAAAAGTCTATTTGGTAAAAAGGTAAATTTGTCAGTGCAAAACTAACTCAACTTTACAATTTATATAAACCTTTTTACACTCTACATATTTGCATTCACACTTATTTACATCGTTTCGAAATGCAGCAGTGGTAAACCTGCACTAACCCAACCATATTTGGTTAGGGTCAGGTCATCCTTAATCGGGCTTTGGGTCTGGTTTGGATTGAGACGAACCTGTGATGAACCCAGCCTGTTGACATTGCAGCATTGGAATCTCTCTCTCTCTATATATGGTTCAAGTTGGGTCAGGTTTGAAACGCCCTGCACCCAACCCATTCACATCCCTAATTGGCCCAATAATTTGTTGAATATTTTTCTGCCAAGCCCTTTTTTGTACTTTTCTTCTTATTATTTGTTGGAACAATTGTTGAACCAAAATCTAAAGCTTTAAATTTTAAACTAGTTTCGCTTGAGAAACCTCGAATTAATTCAAAGTAGCTCAGGATGATAAATGGGTCCCATATGTTTGAAGCTGACGCGGTGTACCCATGATTGGACCAATATTACGAGTAGAACCATAGACGATTTTAACTCTAAGAAAAGTTGAGGAAAAAACTCTATATAGGTAGTGAAGTGAAGGAGAGAAGCTTTTAACATACACATGCATACATGCATCACCCAAAATTTAGTCTACCTTAACCAATGTTAAGCCAAATCCACTCCATCCAAACTCAGATTTGGGCCAACAGTTAAGCCCTTCAGCCTTCCATACACCTGGTCCAGCCCAACCCAATTGAAACCCCTAGCCCTAGGAAGAGTATCAGATGACCATCAAGAAGACTTATTATTAATTTGGTTTTAGCTTAGAAGAATACATCAGCATTGCTCTTTAACTTGGATGAGAGCAAGAAGTTGCCTTCCCTGCAACATTTGTCGCACAACCAGAATAAAGTGGCTTGGCTAATTTCCAACTGGATGATCTAAATCCATTATTCCGTCTGGCTTTGTTAGAAATTGTTTCCCACTTTTCTGGTGTTTGTATCATTGTATGCCGTGTTTGGCCTTCTGACTAGGAATTTTGGGTTTCTCACGTTTATGAACCTCAAAGCCAGTCTCATTTTACTATGCTGGGTTGAACTTCCTATGGGTAATTTCCAGTTATTTCATCGGTAACACCAAAGCTATTTTTTTCCTGTCTTTAAGCTTCTACATTTTCAGTGTTTGCAACAGTAAAACCATATAAGCTCTATAGTACTTCAGTAAGAGGGAAAAGCTGAGATGACCTCGTCCCATTATTTTATTGATAATCGAGAATGGATCCAATGTAGAAGAAAGCCACAATGCTATCATTTGATTTCATTAGGAAGCCAAAAGGCTTATTAGATAAATGAGCTTATGAGCTAATGGCAAGCTTAAACTTATAGGCAAGTAGGCTTCCCTCTCTCATTTTCAGATGAAAGTTCTCAAGACCACCATCAATGGATTTGCTAAAATAAGACATAGATGGGGAGATAATTTTCTGGTTCCTCCCCACCCCCAAAATCATATGCATGCTACCAAAGAACAATAATCCTTTCTACAAAAAAGGAAAAAAAAAGTTCCAAAGGACAATACTGATTTTGCTTCAGAAATGTAAGGCCAAAAATTGTGATTTGCTCAATTTGCTAAACAGTTTTCGAACATTCCTCACCTTCACAGGTAATTTTGAAATGTATGCAACAACTAAATCATTTTGCTTCAATTTACAACTGTGAACCAAAGCCTTTCCACTGTAACAGGACAAAGTTTCATCTTCCCCAGCTCCGAAGAAAAGTAATCATCCTAGCAGATAGCAGGAATACATGGAACTGATGGAAGAACAGTCTGGCCATATGAAATTGTCAGTTGTGTTACTTGAGTAACTGAAACTGATATGAAACCATCAACCTGTATTTGGAGCAACTGAGGATCCTGATATGGTGCAGTCCAGCGAAAAAATTGCATGCCCTGGTGCCAACTTGTATGATCAGTGTGAAGAGGAATTGGGACCAATTGAAGGTGCAGATTCTGTTATTCTCAGGGCTCCCCCAAGTTCAACAGGAACAAGAGGGATGAGGGAGTGCAGTACGTCTGTTATCAATGGCCTGTAACTTGGTTCTGGTTGCACACACAAAACAGCTACAGCAGCAACCTACACAATAATATTGTAGTTGACAAAGCATGGAAAACCACATTATTATACTGATTATGGAGTCTCAAGTCATAATCCTAATGTAGTACAAGGGTAGCTCACAAAAACATACCACATAATACATGAAACCAAAGGTTAATTTTAACTTCTATTTATAATAAAAGCAGTTTACAACTCTCTGCTGGAGCTGAGGGTAGTTCACAGACCTGGTATAAGTGTTTCAGATCCATCATGTTCCTGATCACAGGATCAACAATGTTTGGAAGCTTTGATCTATCAGTGAGCTGAGGCAGGGCCTACAAGTGCAGATAGTGAAACACCAAATCATTAAGGTTCAAGGATTCAAAAACTAGTTCATTGAATCAAAACTGCTAAACTCAATAAACTTAGGGATAAGATTGGAAATTTCCCTAGTAATGGTCCTGCCTGGACAGGTGACAGGAATTACAGCAGAACATACCCATGTGACAATAGATTGGCATTCAGTTGATTCCATCTTTTCTACAGGCTTTCTTCCCATAAGAAGCTCCAAAAGGACAACTCCAAAAGCATAGACATCACTTTTCTCGGTCAACTTACCTGAAAATTCAACAATCATGAACACTATGGCAAGTTATGATCTCTTTTCGTCTATATTGTCCATAGCAAAAATTGGAATTCAATATGTTGAAACAGTGAGATGCCAGTTTCATAATCTTTAAGGACATTATTGATGGTCCACATGCAGTACACCCAGTTTTCTTACAAGTTAACATTTACATTAATATCAAGGAAAACTTAGTCACAGGTCTTCAACCTAAAGCACAAAAACCAAGTCACCGCATTTGCAGCAGGTGTACATCGATGCATTTGGTATAGCATCCTTTAGAGGCCTATGAGAAATGCATGCTACATCTCCCATTCAAGGGAAAAGACAGAAAGGAAGAAATGTTAATAAAAAACACAACTATTTCCTCACATATAGGTTGAGCAGGGTTCGTGAAAGATGAATTAAGAGCATGGGGGGGAAAACTAATCAGCAGATCACCAAATTAATATAAAAAAATCAACTCAGTTCACATACCATCTAAAAGATACTCTGGTGCTACATATCCCAAAGTACCAGAAAGCTTAATGTTCTTGTTTTGGGCCCCAGAAGTTACAGCAAGACCAAAATCAGAGAGCTGAATCAAGACAAATTTGTAGAACATATTTAGAGGATTTCATAAAGAGAGACTATAATGTAAAGCAACACTATAGACTGATGATAAAAATCCACCACAAGAGACCAACTTATCTCGGTGATAAAATTAAATTATTATATTTTTAATACTGATAAAAAAAAAACATAGAAAAGTCTCACCAGTTGCTTGATTTTTACCTTTGCATTGAAATTGGAATCTAGAAGAATATTTGATGACTTTAGATCCCTATGGATTACTGGAGGATTGCAGTGTTCGTGTAGATATTCTAAACCTCTGCATCAAAGTATTACACCATTCAAGTCAAGACCAGATAGGAAAGCATGGACCGAGGAAATTGCAGAAAGTCAGAAACGAAGTGATTAAAGAAGAGAATATAAGAATCAGACTTAACAATGTGGCAAACTCACTTTGCTGTTTCCAAAGCAATTTTCATCCTGATGTGCCAAGTTAAAGCTGACCCATGAGACGGTCCTAAAACATGAAACCAATTAGAAATCATTACTTGTTCACTTTCTTGTAACTTCTTTTTGGACTTAGCAATCTCAGATAAAAAGAAAAAGAAAGAAAGAAAGCAATACCGATATACCATGCAATTGGGTTTCAAGAGATCCATTCTGCATCAATTCACAAACAAGAAACCTTGTCTCAGCATGAATGCAATAACCCAGAAGAGAAATTATATTGGAATGTCGTAGGCGACTCAGTAAATCCACCTCATTCTGCAATTTCAGTTTACAATGGAAAACCAAAATCATTAAGACAGAAAAACAAAACAAAACAAGCCACAAGAAATCCCAGATTATTAAAAAAAAGAATAGAACCTCAAATTCTTTCTCTGCATCCTGCCCTCCACCCTCTAGTCTCTTTACAGCAGCAAGAAAGTTTTCATCAAAGCGAGCCTTGTAAATACATCCAAAGCCACCTTCCCCCACAACATTACTTTCCCGGAAGTTGTTTGTGGCTGCTTCTAACAACTGATAATCAAACACAGAAACGGGTACCTTCTTACCAGTCGTCTTCAAGGAATTTAATTTACCCAAAGCTGAACCTAATGCAAGACCTCTCTATCAGCATCACCTCGTTAACATTCTAAGAGAGGGATAAAAAGAAGAGAAGAAAAGATCTAAGAAGAGAAGCACAATACATACGATCCTGCAATTCAATTGATTCAGAAAAATAAACCAAAGAGAAGTGAAGTGGGTTATTTTGGGAAATGTTGATACCTGAGCTCCGTATGCTCTTTGGATCCGAGTTTTTTGAGTTCTTTCGTCGACAAACCCAGCAGCAAAGGAGCGATAACATGATTATACCCAAGGCAGAGGATGTAAAAATAAGTGGTATTAGCAATTTCTTATCTAAGTGATGATGTTCCTGTGCTCTTTCGTCTTCCACCCCTGGTTTGAGAAAGATTCAAGAAACACAGTTGAGCGAATTTCTACCTTGGGAAGGAAACGAATCAAACCCAGTAAAAGAAAGCAGTAGAGAGCACAGAAATTGTCCTTGAGTCGCAGAAAAAACAACAAGCATTGTACGTATTTTTGCCAAGTGCCTAAGCACCGGAAAAATGGACAGAAAAGACACGGAAAAAAAGGGTACTAAAGGTTTTTCCTTTGTGATCAAATCAAATACAAATGATTCAGACATTTTAAGGATTCACCGAGAGAATTGGGAAGGAAAAACAAAAATGAAATTAAAGATCAAAACCCATAAACCCTGAGAACAGATAAGAAAAAAAACAAATTTCTTAAACTTCCTCTGTTTGGTAAATTTAATGAATAAATTTATTCAAAAGTTTGAATTTTGAATTTGGAAAAAAAAAGATAAACAAATTACTTTACCCATCCAGAAAAACAGGAAACGAGCCTACAAATGAACAGAACTCGAGAAGTCCAAAAACCCATGAAGTAAAACAAAGAACAAAGAACACACAAGACAATAAGGCGTTGCTTGAGTACCTGGAGAAAGTGCCGCCATTGTTGCAGAAACTGGAGAAGTGGGTTTATATTCAGGGGACAAGGCAGGTGCAGAAATTGTGGAAAACAAGGGCTCTGGTCTAGCATTACTGAGAAGAGGAAAGCAAGAAGCCCAAATGGGTAGAAGAAGAAGAGGAGGAGCAACCTTCATTTCCTGTTGAAAAAACACAGAACAGAGAGGAATGTATTGTTGTCTTGTTCAAAGACGGGAACAAATAAAGAAAGAGAGGGAAATCTGGGAAAACTATGTAGGAATTGATGTTTGGATCTTCTGCCTTTTTTTGAATTTGGCCCAACTTTTTTTTTTAATTTAATCTTCCTTTCTCTCTGCAAAAGCCAGGAGACAAAAGACTGTAGAAAGGAAAACAGGAACTAATGCAAAACAATAATGTGGCAGTTATCAAAAGGTGAAGGCCAAAAGCTGAGAGTCTGAGACTGAGATCAGATGGGTCTAGCAAATGGAGAGAAGAACTGAAGAAGCACATGACCAAGATACCCTTTATTAAACCTCATTTATTTGGGATGCCGAAAGAGTATGGTATCGGAAGAACTTTAACCAATCAGAATTCAGAAGCACCTGAATTTTTTTATGAATTGCACTGTAGCAGTACCACTTCAATGATATCGGTTGATGGGTTATCAGTTTCTCATTTATCATTGCCTTAATAAATAATAATCGGAATCTTTATTTATAACATTCCATTTATTTCTTTTAAATCCACTTAAGCTTTTTCTTGCTTTTAATTCCAACAAAAAAAAACATTTAGATTTTTTTTCTTTTTTGAGAAGAATACATTTAGAGTCTACACTAAATAAGGCAAATTTGAATTTATATTCGACTGATTAGTTATTTTTGTTACTTAATATAAATATATAATATATAAATTATTTATGTTATATAATATTATATATATAATGCATAAATGCTTTATATTATATATAATACATAAATACTCTTCAGAAATAGCATTTACACTCCTGATCACATTGAGCACCATTTTTATAGGGGCAAACAGAAAGACAAAGTTACCCTTGTATTATGAATTTTACAATATTTTTCATCTCATTAAGGATGATATGTCTCATTAACAAAAGGGATGTGCCCAAATCACTTCCTTAGGATGGGAAGACATGATATTGAGAAAAAAAATAGTTACCAATCAGGGTTTTCATAAAAAATTACAGGGTTTTGATTGGTCAAAATCTTTTCAGTATGATGTCTTTCGGCATCTTAGATTTTTGCAATGAGATAAGAAACAAATTTAAAAGAAAAAAAAAATTGCAGTTGGAGAAGCTACATCTAATTGTTTGAAAGAAGGCCAACACATCAAAAAACCCAAGATTGACCTTTTCTCTAATATCATTCTATGCATGATAGACCCTTCCATTGGTAATGAGGTCTATCAACTGTTATAGGGTTGTCATCTTATAACAAGTACAATTATCATATAAGAGCTGGCCAACTAAACAAAGAACAACAAGATTAGACGTATTAAGTGAGGTCTCCGTTGAAAGCATCCACATCGATGGGAGTGTGGATGGGCTCTACACCTCATTCCAGCTGCTACTATCTCATTTTGTTGAAAAAGGGAAGGAAATGGGTCCCAATTCCCAACATCATGTGTGAAAGATTTTCTTGTTTTGGTTTTTAGTTATAAGTAAAAGCTATATATGGTTGGCATTATCATCACCAACAGATGAAGACAATCTTATTTGAAAAAGACAGTTATGCCATATACCCTAAACAGACCAAACAACCAAATGTTAGGATTTAGAAAACGGAAGTATTAAAGTCAATGAGGCTTTTTTGATAGTTTGGCCCTTTTAATAGAGAAAACAATCCCTTCATGAAAGGAAATCTCTCTCTCTCCAATTATGTTTGAATATCACAAAAGAAGAAGAAGAAATGAAAAGAAAATAAAAAAGAAATTGACTTTGCTTGGGTTCCATTTGGTTGCCAAGGGAGTATAAGAAAGAAGCTAAAAGAAAATATTTGTTTTCTTAAAGGAGATTGACAAAAAATAAAATAAAGGTCGAAAAAATGTGAAAGTTAATGGGCTCCATCCATGCATCCATTTTGCAACCTGCACTGCATCGAGGGATTATTTGCAAAGGAAAAATAGCTACTATTAAAAAAAAAAAAAAAACTTTTGGAATCTTGTGTGGGTCCCATCCTCTTTTAGGCCAATCAAACATTTATTTTAATATTTTCAAAAAATTGGGAAATTTTATGATGTCACTAGGTATGATACAAGAATTTTGACCAATCAGACCTTTCAGGGACAAATTTTGATGAACATCAGTTGTTTGCTTACCAACTAGTAATCAATATGAGATAAAATGGGAAAAAGTACACTGAGATGGTTTGGTTATTTGCATAAAAGATCATCTACGACATCATTATAAAGAAATGAGTTACAACAGTTAAAATTGAAGGATTTTAACTGCTGAAGGAACTAAAAAAAGCATCCTCTAAAATAAAGGAGCTAAAAGAGCTAAAGGGCTTTGAATAGAAGATGGGTTTAAGTAGTAAGAAATGAGTTACAACAGTTAAAATTGAAACATAGATATGACACTGAATAGAACAGAATGGCAAAACAAGGTTAATGTAGCACCCGATATATTCAGGGCACAATGACCAAGATACCAGTTGATTGATTATGGTCAAAACTCTTCATTCTACTTCATTTTGTTAATAATTAAAAGGAAACCATAGCCTCAGTTTGGTTGACAAGGTTAACCAAATGTATGAAAAGAAAAAGGTTAAGATGAAATAAGTTTTCTCTTTTGATTTTATAGGGAAATTTATGGTTTGATTGCTAATAAGAAAGTGAGAGAAAATGAGAAAAATTAAAATTTTGTCAATAAAATCCAAAAACAATACTAAAAATGTGGCTGGGAATCACCACACAAATATTTTTTTATACCAAAAGAAATTTTAAATTACTCTTTTTCTTGAAAACTATCTGTAAATACAGAAATAAAAAAGTGCAAAGTGCATAATGGGTTGATATTTGATGGAGCCCACTACCACCCTTTTAAAAGCTTGCTTTGTTTTTTCCTGCCAATCAGACATCTTTGATAAAAAAAAAATAGAAAAATTGTTTTGATTTTTTTTAGTTTCTTTCACTTTCTTATATTCTCTAATCTCTAGGTAACCAGACAAAGCCTAAAGGATAGGAGATCGGCTTCAGTCAGTTCCAGGCCCGTTCGAACACCGTTCGAACAGCCTTTATAGCCTTACATTGGGAATATCTAAGTACCTATATACTTTACTTCATGGGGAGATATTCTCAATGCAATGCGATAAAGGTTGTACAAACAGAGTTTGCACTGACTGAAACTGAGTTTCAAGGATTGAAAATAAATAGAGGAAAACAGTAGAAAGTGAGTCCATGTTCTCTTAAAAAAATTATTTTTTTTCGCAACCAAACCCAATTTTTGGTTTATTAAGATGGTTTTCCTAACCAGTTTTCTTATTAAATTTAGTGCTTAGGAGTGTTATTTAATCCTTAATTAGGTTATTGTGAGGTATTAAACTAATGTTATGAACATCTAAGCCAAAAAGGATGAATGCTGATTTAGGATCAAGAATGAAAATATCCATCCATATTAATGATGATGGAGATGCATGGATACATCATACATAGGTATTTTGAAACTTAAGACTTTAGGCTGATAAAATGCATCCTTTGTACCAATAAAAGAAAAAAAGTATCAGTCATATCGATAGACATTGATATTATCAGACATATAAATATTTTCATATTTTGATGCTTGCTTATAATTTAAATTTCTATTTATACAACCAAAGGAATAGCGGTTCAAAGATGCGGCTACTGCATCACTGATTGTGCCACTTGCTTTTTTTTTTTTTCTATATGCCTTGGAAGGTATTTAAATTTTTAATTTCAACTCAATCCTTTGAAAATATGTTATTCTATCATTTTAAAATAAATAAAAAAAGAAGATATATCACATATCCATATTTGACCCTTGTGACATTTACCCTGCTTGCACTTTCTTCTAATATTATAAGAACACATCACGTGTTAGGTAAAATTTAGGCTTGAAATATGAACTAACCAGCATGGATTGATCCCAATCAGTACTGTTTTAGGTGGCACAGATGATGGCCCATCAAAGTAGAATTATGGTCCAAGATCAAGGGGGGCAATGAAGCAACTTATTTTAGTGGGTAAATTACAGACAGCCACCGAGGGAGCACTTCACACTTGGCTTTTTTGAAACACTATAAGTATTTATTTTAAATTCTGGGATTATATATGCTGTGTTTGGTTCAGTTGATGTTTATTGAAAAAATGTCGTCACACCAGTGCCACATAAGTGATGGTGTTTATTACAAAAGAAGTAAAATGAAATAACTGTTTGGTTTTATCGTTTATTAAATAATTGGTAGAAAACTGAAATGCTTTGATTTTTGTGTATGGAGCATTTGGGGAAATGTCAAATTCTTATTTTCTCCAATGCTTTGGGTTAATTTTGGTTGTTGGGGGCCAACAGTCTTTCCTGTTGAGAGAGTTTCTAGGTTGGGCACATTCACGGCAGTTCACCAATTCACGAGCATGCCTTTCTTGTTGAGAGAATTAATTTGCCCACTCTCGTGGTAACATGGCTGATGAGGGGTGATTTGGCCCGACCTAGTGAGAAGAACACACGTGGATAGGATTTGCCAGCTAGACTATGAATCAACGTTTATTGCCACCTCAACACCACGTACCACCTCAGCAGGCAAGGCCATTTCGGGTATCTCGGACACCTCGACGATGACCGAGGTCTGAGTAGCTCAGGATTGCCTAACTTGCCGAGGTGATACGTCAGACTTCTAGAAGCATGCTAATTGTCTCCGAGCTCTTCGGGATCATGCCACATAACCATATGACTTATTCTTATCTCGCCCGAATCGAACAGACACGACGGGCCTTGTTGGCTAGCACATTAACCACCTCCCAGGGCGAAATGGACTCCTAACAGAGCGGGTTGAGGATCTCAGAGGAGTTTCGTGAGACATACAACATTCTAGCTATATAAGGGCATCAGCCCTTGAGACCCAGGTACGTGCGATTTAGTGCATTCTAGCTCTCGTATTCATTTACTTTCAGCTTGCAACCTAGTACTAACTTAAGCATCGGAGTAACCATGCCTGGTTAACCACCCTGGGTTCTCTGAATGCTTCTTCTTTGTAGTTCGATCAACCAACTAGGCAAGCTACCCTCTAGTTAGGAGCTACCAAATCGTGCACCATCAATTCAACCCAGAAACTCTCTCAATAAGAAAGGTTGTTGGCCCCCAACAGCCAAAGTTTTTCCCAACGCCCCAATGTTTCTTGAAACCAAATGCTGATGTGGCACACTTTAATGGGGTTAACTTTGGCTATTGGGGCCCAACAGCATAAGCTGTTGAGACAGTTTCTGGGCTAGGCATGTTCTAGGCAGTTTACCTATTCACAC